GAAAACAAAGGTGCTTTAGGATACCTATTCATTTCGCCATGAAGTTAGAGAATCATTTTGATGATCTGGCAGGCCATAGAAGGGAAACTGGTAAAAATAGAAATGGATACAATGATATTTTCATTTTTCCTAACCTTGGATACATAGGATTGATTTTTCCTGTGTTTTCTGTAAGTGGGAAAAGAACAATGCCAAAAAGGTCAGCCTTCTTATAAGGATTGTTTTCTCCTGTACTGGCAAGTGTTCAAGATTGTTTACACACCACAAAGGCCAGTATGATTTATTATTAATGAAAGATTACCTCCTGAGCTCTTCAATTTTGAAAACCATCAAATCTAATGGTATTTTAAAATATAAAGCTCTGTCATTAAGAAGCTGGTGGCTGAAATAACGTTTCACATTCTTCCCAGAGTATTGCTTCATTGTGAAATGGTTAAAATGTCACTTCATTATCTAATAGGACTGAATGTTTGTTTGTTTGTTTTTTACAGTTAACAGAAGACAGAAAGTAGTAATATTTCACTGAGATGTTATATACTGGTAGCTTTCCCAGATACTTTAAGTTTAGAAATTAGATGATCAAAATGTCTTACTTGGTCCCCTCCCTTCCATTAAGTCTCTCACCACCATTCAACTGGATTATTCCAACAGTTACTATATATTTCTCCTTGTCTCTATAATCTGACCAGCTCCAATCCTTCTCAACATTGCTCATAGTTTACTTCCTATAGCAGGTGCAATCGTGTTATCCATCGGCTCAAGAAATTCATGTTGACAACAGAAGAAAATTTAAAATCTAGCTCTTCCTCAAGTCCCCATAGCCTACTTTTCATTTTGCCCTTCAGCAAAGAGTGGTCCTCCAAGCACACAACAAGGCACACAACCACACATATCCAACATGAATCATTTTTGTCCCTTGAACATGCCAGGAGGCCCCATTTTGCCTCTATGCCTTCATTCTCATAGAGAGGAAAGCAAATATAGTTGCTAGAGGTTGAATTCAATTAAGGAGCTCAGTCGGGAAATTCATAGCAGTGAATATGCATATTAGGAAAACAGAACGAGCTCAATTAAACAACCTGATGCTGAACCTCAAGCTTCTAGAAAAAGAAGAGCAGGACAACCCCAAGGCTCATACAAGGTAGGAAATTATAAAGATCAGAGAA